CTATTTGTAGTGACAACACACGGTCCAGTCGATATATCCTCGTCTTGTTTAGACGCACCCCACACTAGCAAATCGAAGAACAAAAATATCACGTTTCCTCCTTTAAATCTAAAGAATTATTGCGTATTTATGCAATCTCCGTACAACACGGGGAATTTTTTTTTTTCCCTACGATCTTCCCCTTCTTAATATACGTCGTCTGTTTGGTGTTTATGTTTATATCGACATACTTTGTAACGATAAACATCTGTAGATAAGAAGTGCCGTTTCCTATCCACAAACTTTAAACGGGAGAGAGGGACGTTTTAATCTCTCGAAGAAAAACTCTCTGCCTCTTCCAATCTCTGGTGAACATCCAGATGAAAAGCATCTATACAGTTTCTCTGTTGAAAATGCTCGCGTGATTTTCTATTCTTTTAGTATTTAATATACTCGTATTCATCCAAAGTATCCACTTTCTGACCAGCAACAGTATGAAAAGCGTTGTATATGATATTATTTCTCATATTAGATCGGTAAATATAAATACACTGAAGTCTTACTATAGCTTAAAGCACGTATCCTTACCTACAGAAGTGTATTAGTGAAAAATAACTGTATACAACACATAAAAAGGCCTACAGTATCTTTATAATACATAGAAATTTTCTATACAAAGACTAATACTTGCCTAGACAAACGGATCTACCGCCACTTTAGATAATATTCACGAATAATGAATAATATATACAAGTCGACCCCCCTATAACACTGTTGATAATTCCGTTTTATATGAATTCCATGTTGTACGAGTCACTTATATTTTACAAATACGTGTGCCAGGCTGTGAATGGCTCNGGAAGAATGCAATACTTATTCTTCTGTACACGAGTATCTATAGCCAAGGTATCTTATATATAAACTCTTTAAATATATTTTACTGTATTTAATGTGTTTTCTAGTTTAGCCAGTCTCATATTTTACTACAGTCGACCCCCTATAACACTGTTGATTATTCCATTTTATATGAATTCCATGTTGTAGGAGTCACTTAGATTTTACAAATACATGTGCCAATAAAACGGAATTATCAACAGTGTTATAGAGGGGTCGACTTGTATTAAATAAAATTCTCGTACACACACACACACAATTCCCCCCAAAAATAATTTTTAAAAGAGAAAGAAACACACGTCAGGATGCTCTCCTCACGCCATGGCTATAGAAAAAACACAGATTACACCACATTGCGAAACGATAAACACTGCCCAAAAATCCCCTAAAAATTACTCCTAAAAACCTCCGCCACAGGATAGTTTCGGGTAATAAAATAGTAAATTATATATTTAACCATAAATGCTATTATGGGAACAATAGTAATAGAAGTAAAAAAAGAAAAAAGGCAACGTCGATATCTTAATTGGTGCAGATGGCGTACAAGAGGAGAATCAACCTCTGAACTGTGGCACTTGAAAGGAGAGTAACCGAGCAACGATACTTCACCTATATTAATCTTTGTGCAGGTTTAACGCAACATCTGCCATGTTTCGCCATCAGGTAAAGGTAGATATTGTTGACACACTCGTCGTCACACTTGTCCTTTCTCCTATTCTTTTCATTGTAGGACAAAGAATTAATACTTGGAACCTTTACTAATATGTAAAAAAAGAAACACCAGAGTGGTCCGTCACGCGGGTAGGAATTTTAATAAGTCCACACACTCTATGGTAGGATGGAAGAAGGGGAAAATTCGTAGGAGGGGGGCTTGATTTATAAGGTATTAAAATTAACCTCGTATTCTCAAAATGGTAATTATGGGGCTACAAATTTGTTCGATGACTCACCGTCTCCTCTTTATGAGATTCACTCAAGAAATTAATGCTGACCGCAACTATAAATTTTCTAGGGTTTTTTTCACCCCCCTACTCCCCATAGTTTAGTTTTATATCTAGTTTATTAATTACGAGGGCTTAAAATTAATTTTTTTCCGATACTATCAACGGTACAGCTCTTGTATACAACAAGAAGAATTGTACTGTGTGACGAAACAGCGGTAGAACTCGTAGAGGAAGTAGGCATCGCAGGCATAAGCATATTAGCAGATAAATATAGGCATTAATACGTGTATAAATAGTTGAAAAGTAGGCTGGTAGGCATTAACGAACTAGTAAGTCAATGATATGAGGCATAAGCATTAATATATTAGCCAGTAGTCATTAGTAGATAAATGTAGGCATTAATATGTATGTAAACAGTTAATTAGTAAATATTAGTCAGTAAATACAGTAGGCAATAACATAAACCGCAGTGTATCAATAATACACCTTCCTTAATGGTAAATTCTTCTTATCTAAGGAGAAAAATTCATCCTGAGAAGACGATCTCTCTGATTTTTGGATAATGAAATTCTTCTTCAACGTATTATTTACTATTATATAGTTTATGTGTTACGTAGAGTGTATTGTATGCGATTATTATAACCTTAAAATGTAATAGTGATGATGCAAATGATGATTTGAATGTAAATATTCCAGGATGAACGTATAACATTCATCACATAGCAGTTATGTTACATCATCTGTTAACGTGATTTACAATACTCGAAATTAATTCTGACGTAACAGGTGTAGAAGTAAAAGGAAGCCCTCCATCAAATTCAATTTTGTAGATTGTCAATTAGGGATTCGGAGGGCTACAATTTGTCAACGAATAACCTTTCTCGAAAGTCACGTTTAAAGAAAATTCCCTATATTAATCGAATGTTACGGGGCTTTACTTTAAAAGAATTCAAAGCGTAACAAAAGTTACGATCCGATTTAACCATAGACTTTACTTACTAGAGGAAAACACGGCGAAGATTTCGAGGAAAATAAACGTCGGGAACTAAAAGCAGAAGTAAATTTAAGTGTCTTAACACTAAGCAACACAAAACAAGTCGAATTTACAGGATTTCTTAAATTACTCATTGTTACAACAATACAAAATAGTGCCCTATTAAGCTATACGTTACGCTATTGTTTAGGAGTGATGCGTAACGAATAATTGAAAATAAGGCGAACTATCTCTAAATAACACAAACAACTTCATTATAAAGAGACGTTTATGCAAATCGAAAGTTGATAAACCCTATTAAAAAAGAACGTTTAGTGACTCTCGGGACACAAAACAGTAGTTTTATATTAATTTTTCGACCATAGGAAATCGAATTTTAGGTTAGAGAGAGAGTGTTTCTAACGGAGCGGGGGAGCAAACAAAAACTGATAATAGCGTGACCACAACACACTATTCATTATTCGGCTTAAGTAGGGATGTAAAAGCCAAGAAGAAGTTTTGACAACAGGCATTAAGGACACAATGCAGGCAAAGACCCCGTCTGGGGGCATTACTGGACTCTGATGGACGACTACCTTTTTTTTTTTTTCTATTGTCCACTCGGGCACGCGACAGTGTTTAGGGGTACTCAAGTCGGTTCTTGCGCAATTTCTTCCCTCCTCTTTCCTCTGACGTGGTAGAATCTCGATCCAGTTGGCTAAATCCTTAACGAAAAGAGATTAAACTCCTAACAGAGGTAAACCTCCAATGGAGTTTAAATCCCCCCCGACGGGGATTTTTTTGTTTTATTCTTAAACACCAATTTGTGTGTGCAAACGGCGGTGGGTTTGACAAATAATTTCAAAGCACGTTAACGAATCAGAAATTAGTACTTTAATCGTTCATCACGTTCACGTGCTCGAACATCGTCCCTATTGATAAATTGGATTAGAAGCTCGCGTTTAAAATTAAGCTGACGTAATTTATATTAAAATATTAACTTGCCTAAACATTAGTTAATTTCCGGATGAATTCCGAAACATTTTAGCCAACTACACGACGGAGGATAAATTCTTAAAAACGTTTAAAATAAAAATTAAAAGGAGAAGTGAAAGTGAAAATGGAACCCCCTCATCTCGAGTTACGCGACGGATTAATCCATATTCGTTCACGTGACCTCACCTAGATCCAATAAAGATTTTCACTAGTAAAAATGTCAATAAACCAGGAAGTTTACATTTTTATTCTCGAGGGAAACCTGGAAGTTTAAGTCGACTTATTCTCGCTTGGGTGCCTATTTTCTGCTACTACAGTATTAAAAAACGTTCCCTCTAACATCTGGATGTGCAATACACCCTATTAGAGAAAGAGAGAGGGAGATTCTTAAGTCAGAAAGTTAAAGAAATGGAAGAAAAAAAAAAACCCCCACCAAAACTAACGACATATTACAGAGATCGCCCCCGAAAAAAGTTAATTTAACCCGAGCCACACCTCCACTACATTACAACACTGCCGTGCTATTTTAGTAATATACACCACCATGCTATCTTACGTGATCTAATAAATTTCCGACATGTTGACACAACAAATAAGCATGATAATGCGCAATAATATCCTCTCTCTCTCTCTCTCTCTCTCCCCCTAGTACAATTTTCGCCCGTTAACCGGGACATCTAGACGAGTGGGCATATTATCTGGATAATCGGTTAACGGTTTAAAATTAATGAAGAAAACTTAATTTAATTATACATAACTAACATCTGGTCGTAAAAACATCACATAAATATCACTCGAAACGAGGTTAAGACTGTAAATAAAGACAATAGTGAGGACACTACTTCTATAACAATGCGGTAATAACTCTTCCTTTATTCGATTAGCTTTAATTATCGCTATTAACGAGTATCGAGTTTTTAACCCTGGAAACGGGGTGGTCAGACAAACAGATGTTCTCCGTTTTTTCCTACTTGTTGCGTGTTTTTTTAAAAGGGAGTAACGAGACACGTCTTAACTACGCGTATATAAAACAATACGGTGGCTTAATGGATTTCTATTTTACGGGGTGTGTGTGGTGTCGGATTTCGATTCTTCCCCCCTCTCTTTTTTTTAATAAGTAGGGGGGGGGTTTAAAAAACTTTGAATAAACTAGCCAATACGTGGATTAGTTTAAGTGTACCGCCCTCCAACTTCTCGGTCACAAACAAACTTACCTCTAGGAGTATTATTACTTCCTGTTGCTTCCCTTCGTTCCCTGGAGTGTGTCTGCCATTCGGACGAATGATTAGTCCTGGGCGCTTGCTTGATGAGATTTTATACAGCCAAAGCCACGTGCAATAAACGAATAAAGACGTCAGAAACCGGTAATTAGGAAGGGGGACGGTCGATCCTGCAAGACAAAAATTCTCGATTGGTTTTGAGTCAGGTTGATAGAGAAGTCACAAATCTACTTTTAAGACGTGCGACGTTAAACTACATCCAAAAGTTTTATACACGCACTCTAATCAACAGGTTTCTCTATCGATCGCTTGGTATGTGTGTGCGTGCGTGTGGAGTTTGCTTTTGTAAAAGCAAAACTAAAAGACACCTTACACTCTTCCAAGCGGGGATTTTTATACAAACGCGTATATTATATATACAAGCCTATATATATAGTATTTATTTTTCTACTCACCTGGGGTAATGACCGGGCGGGATTGTTGTAAAATTCGTCAGGATAGAAAAACCAGTCTGCGGCCTTTAAGGTGGCCAAGACTAAATTACTTGCTCGCAGCGGGATTGACGAGCGTCGTTTCAAATCCACGTCGAGGCAACGCATGGCATGAGGCCCGCAAAGATGACGTCAGCGCCTAGCCTCACGCAACATTGGTTGTTCTCCTGCCATGCCCGGAAAATTAACTTTCCTTGTGATAGGTCGAGCCACTCGCTGCTACCTACTGAGATGGATAATTAAAATTTCTTGTTGGGACATGTTTATTCTACGTGCTACACACTCTAAATCTACTACGAGAAATAACCCTACCGATTTTTTTTGGTCTTCTTTAGGAATTTTTATAAAACTTTGTCAATCGACAATTCCTATACGTATAATATTTTTCCTATTTACTTTACGACCGGCCCCTGTAAATCAATCTTCTCCGCAACGTTTCTAGAACAAGAAAGCCGACTTTAAGGGGTTAAATGCTTTAAAATTGCAAGATAAAGACGTCCATTCTTTTAATTTAAAAAAAAATAAATTAAAGAATTATATAAGGACATCATTAATGGACGGGAGGAGGTTAATATTTTCGTGTAGTCCGGTTGTTTAAATAAGATAATAGAGCAGACGGCAGCTTTTTTTACTGGTAACGAAGCAACTCGGGGTGACCGTAATTAATCCCTTGTGTCTGCTGGAATACCGGGGAAAGAAGAGGAAGGAGGAAGGAGGAGAAGAAAAAAAAATCGAAAGCTTCCCTTGGAAGCTCGGATTAACACGGTAACGAGTGGGATCATCTCTCGTCTTTCCAGCTGCCTCCCCATCTTCCGTCTCCCTGGAAACGGATCCGGGATGTCTGCGGAGAAAAATTGAGTCTGACCACCCGATAACCGCTAACATCACAAAATTAACTGGGCGTTATCATAATAGCTCAAACCGCAGGATAAACCGCATCAGAGTTCACCCCCGGTTACTATAGTAGCATCGTGGGAAAACGGTTAGAAAAACGAATTTTTCTTTTAACATATTTATCCTCCAAAATCTCTAACGGTTACCTGGCAGCCGGATTTTTCGAAAGACATAAAATTTACGACTGTCAATCACCGAAGCTTTCATCACTTTATAACTTCCACGTATTAAATACGAGACGATCTTTAAAGCATCTCGAAGATCAAGATAAAATCTAAGTGACTCGTACAATATGGAATTCATATAAAACGGAAAAATCAACAGTGTTATAGGGGGGGTCGACTGGTATAAGTATAGAGAGAAGATCATCTCGTGTCTATACTATTAAATTAATTTAAATTGAAGAGTTATAATGATAATAGCTATGCTTTATTCTCCTGTAATACTTAAAACTTTGACGAATATGTTTGTATATTTTAAAGATAAATGTATCCTACACAAGAATAAAATTTAAGATAGATAAAATGCAAATCTGTATTACTTCATCTTCCATAAATATATATAGATTTGTAAGATGCTGGAGAGGATCCATATAAACAACCATAAAGAGATAGCTTTGAGGTATATGAAAATCTTATTGTTCCCTATTTATATTGCAGTAAATTTAACCATAATTATAATTTTAATTACAAGAATCTCTTATTTTATCAGTCAATGAGTTCTTGTATACATTACACCAGACAAATAGATATTATCGAATGAAAAATTCTTTTATGCCTTTCCTACGAGGAAAAAAAAATGTTTAATTTCCATTAAAAATAGTGGAGAAAAATGAATTTTTTCCACTTTTATTCTTAAAGAAACGTTAAATTCTCGTATAGTGAAGATCGCCTGGGGTAGTTACATCTAGATGAGTCTCCGAGGAAGATCACAACTTATATAAACACACATGTATTATAATACAAATACGTCTGGAAACCGTATTAAATCCTACGATTTGAGTTTAAAAAAAAATTGACAAACACTTGCTATCACTTTGTAGATAAAAAAGAACCATTGGTAAAATCACAGAGTAATAAGACTACCCAATGGCGCCAGATTAGCTCCAACTGCTTTAATTATCTCTGCAGGATCTAATTAAGGTACGTAAGTCCATAACTAAGCGATTAGATAAGGCCAATCTCATTGGATAAAATAATAGGAGGGATTATCTTCTTGTTACGTAATCAATTCCATCCCTTTACTGTGTTCTTCCTGTTATTCTGATACGAGTTCCAAACTACATTCATTAAGTTATACGTACGTAGTCTTTCTTGTAAGGATCTTTCGACGGTTCGAAAAATTATCCACAGATGGCGCCACACTTAAATACAAGTCGACCCCCCCCTATAACACTGTTGATAATTCTGTTTTATATGAATTCCATGTTATAGGGGGGTCGACTGTGAGCCGTTCACAGCCCAGCACACATATTTGTAAAATCTAAGTGACTCGTACAACATGGAATTCATATAAAACGGAATAATCAACAGTGTTATAGGGGGTCGACTGTATATTTTAGGTGAAATTTTTGAATTTTTATAAGTAATTTCACGTTAAAAGACTTAAATCACGTTTGCTTTACTTGGTGCAAGGATATTTTATTTCGTTTCTATTTAATTTCCAATTTTTATCCACCTTTGCAATCCTCGGGGTCTTCAGAGCACACTGATACAGGATGTAACACTATTAAATACTCTCAGGATGATAATTTTCTTTTGGAAACACGGCCTTAAGAGAGAGAGGTATTAGAAGAATGGCAGCATCCCATCAGAATGCTTGTACCATTGTAAAATCGAATGAAGTATTGTATTGTAAGAACGTTGTTCGGATCTTCTCCGCATCTTCCAACAGAAAAATCATGACAGAATTTACATTTAACTCACGATATTCCATGCTAAATGATAATCGAATTTGCCATCTTATTACAAAAAGGTAACATTGCTGGAGTGCAGACAAGAAATCCATAATTGCATTAGGATGTGCATTAAACGTTCTGTTCCATGTTAATGGAAGCTAAACGTGGTTAAAGAAAGTGCATTTTTCTTTCAGAGAATTTATTATTTCGACGTTTTCGTTCAGGTCCTTCTACACATTAATATATAAAGCTTTAGATATTTATGAAAAGTGGCCTTTCAACACAGAGTTTCTTCATTATATTCCCTACATAAACTCTCCACTTAAGGACTTTTTCCTCTGTTCTTTTTATATTTTTCCCCCCCGAATTTAACCTCTTGATTTTTATATCTGTTTTATCGCTCTTATGGATATACAATATCTAAGAGTTTTGTAACTACATACACAGTAATACAGCAGTTAATGTAAGTATTAAAAATAACACTAGAAACAATAGAAACAACAAAGAAAACAATAGAAATATCCAATCAAAATTTCTCTATTGTTTCTTATGTCTTTACTTTTACTGTAATAAAGTGTATGTTTCGTTTTCTACTAATATAAATCCTTTGTTTTTGGTGTAATAAAGTTATAACAGAGTGTCTCTTAAGATATGTCTGAACTCCTAATGAAGTACACGTAGTGTTCTTCTTTCAAACAATTCAAACACAGAAGAAGACACTAGTTTAATTCATTGTAATCGTAAAAACACATTAAAACACGAGAAATATATACAGTATTGAGCGGTGAGAAGATGCAGAATTTTTTCTATCCCTCCCCCTAAAAAAAAAAAAACCTCTGAAAAACTAATTACGGTATGGGGGGGAATGAATAGGATATTACTATATGAAAAACAGTTGTCATTTTTTTATTTTATAATGAAATGGCTGTATGAGTCAAGTAGTTGTTAAGGGGGTGGCCTAACTAGAAGTTCAAGTGTTCTCTCTGGAGACTCCGCTTGTCACATTCGCTATCTAAACTCCTGGTTTGTCCATCTAGGTAGAACTGATCGACTGTTTACGCCTGGCTGTTTTTTGACGTGAGAAAACATCCAACGATTCTCACACTAGAATGGTCACCTGAGCCGATATTCTACTGAGTTAAAGTTCGAGAAATTTTTTCGATCGTATAACTTTCAAATATATAAATACACACAGACACACACACGTATACACTAACTTATTTTCTGGAATGCTCCTGTGAATTTTAAAGCTTTAATTCTCCTCACCAGTTTAATTTTTCCGGGGGGTTTTCCATCTCGTATCCTTCTTAGTAAGGAGTTATGTGAAAACAATTAATAATTTTGTTAAGGAATTGGATTTTCTAACTTAAAAATTGACTTAGTAAGTAACTTAGTTTCGTGTGTCTAAAAGCTAAATTATAGTGCGAAGTAAATTTATTGATCATTTAGCAATAGGAGAGGGAAGGTTTTACTACAACTTTCCACTAGATTTTTTAGTAGGAAATGTTTTTACACCTGTAAAAAGTAGAGTGGGAACTTGTAAAAGTTTCTTTACTCTTAAAAAAACACTAAATAGTTTGAAAGATTGTATCTTATCACCTTTTTTTAGGAGAGTTAAAGCTGTCTAATTGGTGATTTAGAGTTGATTTTTTGAAACTTTCGGAGGTTTTTCCTCCGAAACTTCGATTTCGGATGTTACTGTTCGAACATTTAAAGGAGAAACCTCTAAAATTAAAGAAGCAAGACGTAAATTATACTGTTAAAACAGCGGAAAAACTCCCTTCTTGTATCGAACTGGTTAAATGGGATGCCATAAAGGAGATTTGAGCGAATTTGGAAAGGTGAAAAGTCAAGAGAGAGGGGAAAAAAGAAGAGCAAATGGGGAGTTTTAGAGATTTTTGTAGTAGGAAAGAGAGAGAGAGAGAGAGAGAGATACTGTGTTGCGGTTGTGCTAACATGACACTGATTACAGATACAGAATATCACGTAGAGGTTTACGTGACATCGAGGCATAAAAAGAAGCTTGGGGGGGAAGACAATCGCAGAAGTTAATTTGTGAGTGGATGAAAAACAATCTATTTTCTCGATTAAGTTAATCCCGTCTTCTAAAAATAAGATCGAACAGGTTAATTAAATTCTTCTCATCCTTCAAGTGTAAGATTTTAATTAACCTCAAGTGTAATTTGTTAATCCTTTTCAAAAATGACCGTTGGGATTTCGAATTTCTCTTGTTTGTTTGTCCAGGAATATTTTCTCTATTCGACTTTTTCGGATTTATTATCAGTTTTCGTTTTTGTTCCTTACACATAAATCCGATTATTTATAACTTTTAATCTTTCTTCTGCTTTTTACTCCAAAAAATTCCTCCTTAATACTTAATTAATTATTTTAATTAGACCATTAAGGTGTAAGCTTATTATTATTTATTTGATTGGACAAACATACAGTTTAATAAATCATTTATCTAACAAGAGATCCATCCACCTTTTGCTACAGTCCAGGGTCGTTGATCGTAATTTTCTGCCC